CGATTATTATATTTAAAAATATAAAATTAAAATTATGGCTAATACTTTTTGAAACTATGCAAGGTTTATACTTTAAAAATAGTTTTCAAATTATCATTATATTACTGACTTTTTAGCTTTCTTCTATTTCAACATTCATATGTCAACATAACATGCCATTGTTCTACAGATTTTACATTATTCTGAATGCTAACTTCTATTACTTTTCTAATCATTCTTCACTAAATAATAAGGCACACAGTGAGCTAATTGAACATGTTCAATGCATTTTGCTGACAATTTAAATCTTTTAATTCATTAAGTTTTTTTTAAAAAAACTAATAGCAAATCCTAATTCTTTTATTTGTTATGAAGGCAATTAGTAATAGTATTGTATCTTATCAATTCTAAAACTGAACAAATGTGTGATGGTCACAGTGCTTAGATGTAGTCTCCACCTTCATGGGCAACCTGTTGCCAGACTTCTGGGAGGCAATAAACACTGTCAACAGTATAACTTTTAGCCAGTATTTAGAGAGACTGCCTTAAGGGAAAAAGGATACTGTTTACATCTAAACAGAACTTTTCTCTAAGAAGTTCTTTCATTTTCAGAACAAGGTCAGAGTTACATGGATTCACCATACTCACCTGATGGAGGTCTGCTTAGCAACGTCTTCATTTGTTATAAAGAATGGCTATATGCACTGTTGTGCAAGTGAATTGGATGTAATTGCAGCAACTGTGGTCTCTTGTGATGAATTACTGGATGAAGATGATGTTCAAAGAAATGGCAGTAGTATCCAGTGTTAATTGTCTGTCCCTGATACACAAGAGGCACGCCCTCCTGGGTGTTGTAAGCAATGATCTTTAACACTTTCACCATATCCAGTTGTTGCTGCAGTTTCCTGGGGTGCAGGATGATTGATGAAGCTACTCATTGCCGCACTGTGCCACAAATGAGTTAAAATGTAATTATTTATATGGAAATATCATGGATTGTAGATAAACTCACTATGTAAAAAAATTAAAATAAGTGCAAGTAAAAATGCCAAAATTGGCCCAATCTGATTTTTGCATCTGGCAATAATATAATTTTTAGATAAATCAGTGAAATAAAAAATTCGGCAACTTTTTGCAACTTTGAATATCAGAGCGCTTTTTGTATAAGTACCTGCAGTAAAATTTCTAAGGAAAGCAACTACCAGTTTGCTGAAGCCATCATGTTTGTGTATTGGTAAATAAATATGTTAGTTGTCTTATTTTTTGTGTATTCAATGTGCTGTATTGAACAAATGGTTATACGGCCTGCACTTGTCATTCTCTCAGTTATCTGGCCCACTGTGAAAAAAGTTTGAGGACCTTTGTTCTAGATGAATAAGAGAAGTTTCCATTCATTGCCATTTCTGCACATTCTTAGCTCCTTCATCAAGACAAAGTGTTTACTACAAAACATTAGAAGCTGTAATGCCTATTTCAGTAATAATTTCTTGAAAAGTCCACCAACAATCATTCTCCAATAATTTCAAACTGGCTTCTACATGTTGCTCATACATTGCAGTGATTGAATGACTGCCACCACAAGTTTGTGGCAAAAGGCTTTAACAATCAAGATACAGGACAATATAACAGTGCATCACCATCACATCTCTCAAACCTTTGTGAAACCACCACACATTTCATCCATGTGGAACTTGAATTTTGACGAGCAAACATTACTTAGGGAGATAAAATAAACACTTAAATATTTGACATTCTCCTATTTCTCACAAATGCATCAATGCTTAAACAACAACTGGGAGAAAATTATTTGGCAGGCTTTTGTCAATTTGCAATGTTACAGACAATATTCAGTAATGTCTGTTCAAAAAAAATTCATGTATTTTACATTATTCATAGCAGTTATTGACATTAAAATGCATTTTATGTTTTATTAATTTTTATGCATATTAATTTATTTTTAATTTATTATAATTTATAAAGATGGCAACCATTCTTTTTTCCAAACTGCAATTCCTTAATAAATTCTTTAATGCAATTTTTCTAGCATACAAAATTGTTTAAAAGAAATTTTATAAATTAATAAAAATACTGTATTCATTTATTTATGAATATTGTATTTGTAGTTTATTGTAAAGTTAATTTTAATTTTTTTAACTTAAACTAAATATTATGATTAAAATTTAAGTATTGTCCATGCAAGATTTTTAATGGTTTCAGATATTCTATGAAATATTGGACTACAATAAATTTTAAATGTAATTGTCAATAAATATTCTTTGAATCCCCATTTAAACACACTGCATTGAAGATATATTTTAATGATACAAAACTAGCAAGTACAATAGACTTGCCATCATCCAGCCCAATCTATGCCCATATTTTCTGGTCCAAGCTGTGTTGTAAAGATTTTTTTACACAAATAAAAATTGCAAAATAATTGCATTTTTAAAAATATTTTGTATTTTTTATTACAGTACAATATTTTTAAATAATAATGTTGTGTAAAAATGCAATGGCAAATGTTTTCATAAAATATATGGTCATTCAGCACTATTCAACTATGTTATCCTATATGATAAGTTCTCCATAGCAATTCTGTGCTTATTTCTAAAAACCTTCATTCAAGTTAACAGTAAATAATTTACAGTTACAGTTTACAGATGCAGGCTTGCAGGTTCAATTATGAGTCTAACATGAATTGAATTATATACTGACACTTGAATAAAGGTTTCTTCCTTGCCCATCTTTAAGCTTGAATTACAGCAGTTCATTATTATGATCATGTCCTATAAGTTTCAAAACAACTTCATCAAATATATAATTCATTATATGTAATTCACAAATAATCATATTTCAGCATATAATTACAAAAATTGGCAATGAATTTGTTTCTTTAGTGGTTTCTACAGTTAAGTAAGCAACTTATTATTTTACTTTTATAATTTTAGTTTGACTTTGTTTTTACTGTTTAGATGTAGTCTCCACCTTCATGGGCAACCTGTTGCCAGACTTCTGGGAGGCAATAAATACTGTCAACAGTATAACTTTTAGCCAGTATTTAGAGAGACTGCCTTAAGGGAAAAAGGATACTGTTTACATCTAAACAGAACTTTTCTCTAAGAAGTTCTTTCATTTTCAGAACAAGGTCAGAGTTACATGGATTCACCATACTCACCTGATGGAGGTCTGCTTAGCAACGTCTTCATTTGTTATAAAGAATGGCTATATGCACTGTTGTGCAAGTGAATTGGATGTAATTGCAGCAACTGTGGTCTCTTGTGATGAATTACTGGATGAAGATGATGTTCAAAGAAATGGCAGTAGTATCCAGTGTTAATTGTCTGTCCCTGATACACAAGAGGCACGCCCTCCTGGGTGTTGTAAGCAATGATCTTTAACACTTTCACCATATCCAGTTGTTGCTGCAGTTTCCTGGGGTGCAGGATGATTGATGAAGCTACTCATTGCCGCACTGTGCCACAAATGAGTTAAAATGTAATTATTTATATGGAAATATCATGGATTGTAGATAAACTCACTATGTAAAAAAATTAAAATAAGTGCAAGTAAAAATGCCAAAATTGGCCCAATCTGATTTTTGCATCTGGCAATAATATAATTTTTAGATAAATCAGTGAAATAAAAAATTCGGCAACTTTTTGCAACTTTGAATATCAGAGCGCTTTTTGTATAAGTACCTGCAGTAAAATTTCTAAGGAAAGCAACTACCAGTTTGCTGAAGCCATCATGTTTGTGTATTGGTAAATAAATATGTTAGTTGTCTTATTTTTTGTGTATTCAATGTGCTGTATTGAACAAATGGTTATACGGCCTGCACTTGTCATTCTCTCAGTTATCTGGCCCACTGTGAAAAAAGTTTGAGGACCCTTGTTCTAGATGAATAAGAGAAGTTTCCATTCATTGCCATTTCTGCACATTCTTAGCTCCTTCATCAAGACAAAGTGTTTACTACAAAACATTAGAAGCTGTAATGCCTATTTCAGTAATAATTTCTTGAAAAGTCCACCAACAATCATTCTCCAATAATTTCAAACTGGCTTCTACATGTTGCTCATACATTGCAGTGATTGAATGACTGCCACCACAAGTTTGTGGCAAAAGGCTTTAACAATCAAGATACAGGACAATATAACAGTGCATCACCATCACATCTCTCAAACCTTTGTGAAACCACCACACATTTCATCCATGTGGAACTTGAATTTTGACGAGCAAACATTACTTAGGGAGATAAAATAAACACTTAAATATTTGACATTCTCCTATTTCTCACAAATGCATCAATGCTTAAACAACAACTGGGAGAAAATTATTTGGCAGGCTTTTGTCAATTTGCAATGTTACAGACAATATTCAGTAATGTCTGTTCAAAAAAAATTCATGTATTTTACATTATTCATAGCAGTTATTGACATTAAAATGCATTTTATGTTTTATTAATTTTTATGCATATTAATTTATTTTTAATTTATTATAATTTATAAAGATGGCAACCATTCTTTTTTCCAAACTGCAATTCCTTAATAAATTCTTTAATGCAATTTTTCTAGCATACAAAATTGTTTAAAAGAAATTTTATAAATTAATAAAAATACTGTATTCATTTATTTATGAATATTGTATTTGTAGTTTATTGTAAAGTTAATTTTAATTTTTTTAACTTAAACTAAATATTATGATTAAAATTTAAGTATTGTCCATGCAAGATTTTTAATGGTTTCAGATATTCTATGAAATATTGGACTACAATAAATTTTAAATGTAATTGTCAATAAATATTCTTTGAATCCCCATTTAAACACACTGCATTGAAGATATATTTTAATGATACAAAACTAGCAAGTACAATAGACTTGCCATCATCCAGCCCAATCTATGCCCATATTTTCTGGTCCAAGCTGTGTTGTAAAGATTTTTTTACACAAATAAAAATTGCAAAATAATTGCATTTTTAAAAATATTTTGTATTTTTTATTACAGTACAATATTTTTAAATAATAATGTTGTGTAAAAATGCAATGGCAAATGTTTTCATAAAATATATGGTCATTCAGCACTATTCAACTATGTTATCCTATATGATAAGTTCTCCATAGCAATTCTGTGCTTATTTCTAAAAACCTTCATTCAAGTTAACAGTAAATAATTTACAGTTACAGTTTACAGATGCAGGCTTGCAGGTTCAATTATGAGTCTAACATGAATTGAATTATATACTGACACTTGAATAAAGGTTTCTTCCTTGCCCATCTTTAAGCTTGAATTACAGCAGTTCATTATTATGATCATGTCCTATAAGTTTCAAAACAACTTCATCAAATATATAATTCATTATATGTAATTCACAAATAATCATATTTCAGCATATAATTACAAAAATTGGCAATGAATTTGNTTTTTTTTTTTTGGATTACAGAGACGGATTTACATTTGTAATGCTGTTTCGTTTAGCACTTTGTCGTCTAGGAACGCATCCCCTGAGTTAAGCAGGGTCTTATTATACATTATATAATTGCATTATTATTATTTTTACTTTCTCACATATATTTTTTTTAGTCAAATATTTTAAAGATAGCAAAACATGAAAAATAAGTGTACAGAATTACTATCATTCATTTCAATTATATTCAAATGAACAATATAAATGTAAATCAAGTAAATATATTAACAAATAACATTATCATATTGAAACTAACCTTAAATTGATCAGGTACATCCTTCTGATTTAATGGATAAAGTCGAACAAATTTGATACTTTCCGCTAATACATAAAATGGTTTATTCATCTTACGAGCACATATCGCTAGAGGATAAGTACCAATCTGTAACAACAGACATAATGAATTAAAAATTTTTTTTTATAACTACAGAAATTTATTTAAAATTTTTACCTTATTAATAATTCCACCACTTTCTACAATACCTTCAGCTCCAACTAATACTAGATCAATCTTTTCCATTATGTAGCTGAAAAATTTATAAAAATAAATACATTAATTAAGCAAAAATATTTAGTATAGTAATATTATTAAATAACATAAATGAAAAAATTTACATCACTCAGAAAAATATATTTAGTCTAGCCCATATAATTCTTAAATCATTTCTAATTGTCCACATTATAAAATAATACTACTATTATATAATCACAAAGAAAATTAAATAAGTCAATACTGATAATATTAAAACTGAAAGAATCAATAAATATAAATATTTAAAACATTATATTATATTTTATAGACTTAAAAATTGTGCATATATAACTAGAAAAAACCTTTAGTTTTGCACTTTTTGAGAAATTCTGAATATTAATCATTAATTAAATGTTAAATTATAAATGATTTTCTACATTATTGTATGATATAAAAAGTTTTGCTCATCATAATCTTCTTGTTTTAAGTGTAAACTAGAAAGAAGTTTTTTGAGTTCTTTACAGTGATATCTTGCACTTCAAACAACTAACTTTGAATGATAAATTCAATAAAAATTTGCTTCAAAGTTCAAACTATGCTAACAGTGAAAAAAGCACTCAAAGCATAAATGCCATTTGTGTGCACCAAAGTCATCTCTCACATTACACTAATAAATTTTCGTTGTTGTTTCATTTCTTTCACTTTATATATAGCCAAACACACCAAAAACACTGTGTTATTCGTCTATTTTTATCAGTTTCTTCTTTCAATTTTTCTTTGTCAACAGCTTTTGGATCCTCTATATGTTTTTTATCCTTTAGTTCAAAATTTCCCAAACAGAAGTTTTTAAACCATATTTGACATGTTTGAAGTTTAGTAGCATCTTTCCCATACACATGTCAAAGTTATTTTACTGTTTGTACAATGTTATATCCTTTCCAAAACTCAAAGTATAATATGCCTGATATGCATTTTATCTGAAGACCTTTCAACCCAATTTTTTTTCAAACAAAATGTGACGTAAAAAGTTTAAAATAAGCTTCAAAACAAAGAGTACAATCTCAAATTAGCAATATCTTAAATTTCACAACTGTTATAATAAAATCACACATATAGGTTAAATAACAACAGCTGTTAAAAATAGTAAAAACTTTCTGTTCAACCCTATGCAACCTTTACTCATTAACCATAGCATCTGAGAAATTTGTGAAAACAACAAAACCTAAGAGAAAGATTGTAATATCAATGATTGAGATGAAAAGGGAACCTATCATGAAATATAAAAATGGTACACATGTGGTGAATCTGGTGGCCATGTTTAAGATGCCAAAGTTCATGTGCAACCAGTAAATGCAATTTTCATTTTATTATACAGTACTCTTTACATATTTTATTTATTGCTTTTATGTTTTAATTTACTATTAAGGTATTTAATTGTGCTATTTTTTACCTTAAATTATGTGTATTTACTGTTTTAAGTTTATTGAAATGGGTATTGTTTAGTGTCTGGGAATGGATTAATTCACTTTCCATTATTTATAACAGGGAAAATTGATTCAGACTTTGAATGATTCAGAGTTCAAATGGTCTGTTGGAATAAATTAAATTAGAAATATGAGGCACTACAGTATTTTGCTTCAACTTTATTCAGTATGCCTTCAGAAATTATTCTGTAATTTATTTAAAATTTGAATTTGAATAGGACTTATGACATAGTAAATCTACTCATTTAAACACAGACAAATTCCAAATGTTTTCAGTTTTTTCTAAATATCCTCTAGAATTAACTGTGAAGAAGTGTGTTTCAAATTTAAATTCCAATGGTTCCTAAACATTTGTGCTATTGCAATGCAATAATATTTCTTTACAAATTATTTAAAAACTTTTTACAGTAATTATGTACAGGTAACCCCCGTATAACACGACACTTCTATAGCACGGAGTCACTCTAAAACAGTTTGAGAATTGAGTAAAACCCTCATACAACATGAAATGTACAGTAATAAAAACTATTAAAAGCATACTTTATCTAATTTGAAATTAGAGAAATCCCTGTACAACAGTTTTATTGAACGTGATAAAGCTTTTAAGTGTGAAAGATACCTCATTTGACATTTTTCATTTGAGCACGTACGTACTATCAGATTTTCCTGCATAATTTTCGTGAACTATTAGTACTTAAGTGTGTAAATTTTCTTTTCCTGCTTTCTGTCAATACATGTGGTCCTTCTTGAAATTTGTTTCAGTATTACCATATCGCAACACTTCTGCTTTTAGTGTTGCCAGATTTTTTCCCTTATTCCATACTTGCTTTATTCTTCGTAAGTGTTTAGCACCATATAGGAAATTTATAAAGATGTTTTAACTAAAAGCAAGCAATCTAAAATAATGTATTTTTTGCAAAAGGTAAAGTGTGAATCTGAAGATAATGCAGAAAAATGTTCAGAGGATAAGGATATCTTGCCAAAAAGAAAATGCCCTCGGTTAATAATGCTTAGTGATGATGAAGAAAACATTGTTTAATTTCTATTAATATGTATCACTTCTTAAGAAAATTTTAATAAAGATATTTATCTTAATTATGAAAATATAATAGCATGTTTTTTAATTTTTGGAACCTATCCCCCCTTTTCGTACTAGTTCTTTGTTTCATATAACACAGATTCACATAACACAGCAATTTTTTGGAACATAACTCCCATATAACTCCTGTGTTATACGGGGTTACCTGTACATCATAAAAATCTAAATAATTAAGAAAAATTTCTTAGTAATAACACAACTTTTCAATTTAAAGGTTATAGTGTTGTAAATATTTAATATTTAATTTCATTTATCTACAATATTATTTTCAATTTCATTAATCTTTAGTTAGAGTCTAAAAATATAAATTGTTTCCAAAAAATTTATAATAGAATAAACAATAATAAAGCCAATTCTATATACCATTATTCTTTTTTTTCTTATAATATATATAATCTATTCCATTTAAAGTAATGATTATATATATTATAAGTAATTTACACTAAAGATGTAAATGGAAATCTTTTTCTCTTAAGATTTTTCTGATATTTCTATAGTTTTATCTATCAACCTTAAATTTCTATACAAGAGTTATTGAATGTATCTAGTTATTATGAAAATGTAGTCTTCAGCACAATATTTTATTTTATAATAGTTACATTTCACATGTTTCCATAACTGTTGAATGTTAACAGGTTTTAATATTAATTTAATATTTCTATTGGTTAATATTCTTAAAACCTCTTAAAATTCTACAACAATTATGAATTTAAATATGAGATGCAATTCTAACTAATAAATACAGATTCATAACTGGTATATAATAATGTATTCATGTGATAAACTTATTTTGTCTCTAGATATTCAGAACTATATCACTAAATAGAATTGTTTCTATAATAATAAACACAGATCTATAACTAAATTATTTAAAATTATTTAAAAAATGCATGTATATGAAAGTTTGAAAGTAAACAATGTAATAAAATTCATTATTATCATGTTTGTTATAATTTTAAATTGATTTAATCTATTTATTACTTTTTACACTAAGTTTTTTTTATTGTACTAAATGTATTTATACAGATTTATTACAGTTATTAAGTTTAAGATAGTGAAACGTTCAATTTTAGATTAAATCAGATCATATAAAATTTGCTCAATTCTTATATTTATTGTACTTCATTTACTCTGTAGTCAATGTTCATAATTAAATTACTCATTATATATTAAGAAAACGTGTATATATTTATATGATTTCCTTCTTAAATAGTCAAATTAAATTATTATGTATTTATTAAAATGCACATAACAGTAAGTAATTAACATACCCAATAGCTGCATCCAAAATTAAAGTGTAAGGAATACCTTTGTTTTTGAGCCATTCACACATCTGTAAACTAAAGATATAAATAAGTTATTTAATTTTTAAAAAATGAATTTTCATAATTATTATTATAAGTTTTTAGAGTAAAATTCATAAATAGGATGGCAAATTTCTGGTATCTGCAATTGATAAAGCATTATGGAGAAAAGAAACAATTTACAAATTGCAGACATAAGTATAACAAAATGTATGTTTCAAGGATTTCTATGTTTCAGTGTAATGTAAGTAAATCCTGTCTATGTAATGAGATGTAAATGGTTCTGTTTATATAATCAACTACAGTCAGACACACAATAAATTAAATAAAAAAATAGTAATGAGAAAACACTGCATTCAATCACCATGATAAAAAGAAATGCAAGAGCAAAATAGAATTTTTTGTAACACATTTAAAAGAAACAAGCATTATGAAAATGCTGCAAAATAAGGTAAAATCTGGCCTTTTAGCAACATAAAATAAAATACCACTCATATTAAGAAAAATTTGAAATTTTTCTTAATATAATCTGAGTGAGTGGTAAATAACAAACATTTTTTCCCCTATAAAATAAACTCTTTTGAATAGAGTTTTCTAATCAAGTAAATATGATTTAAATTGTAATTTGTAAAAATTACTAAAAAAGTAATAAAAAATTCATTTATGCTGATTGATTTCCAGATATTTGTAAATAAAACTCAAAAACAAAATTTTATTTCTTAGTTAGAAATAAAATTTTTTTGAATTCATTTTGAAAAAAAGAAATGGTGTGACTAATTTTCATAATCAATCATATAGATAAAAAGTAATAAAAATTCAACACATTCTTGTGAAAGTTAGAACAATAGAATTATGAAAGATTGTTAGTGAAGATACAATTGTAAAGGGCTTTAAAAAAATGTTGTGTTACCAACTTGGATAGCCAAGTTGTTGATAATACATAGAACAGAAGACAATATGCTATTCAAGAAGGCTGAAGAACATAATGGTAATGAAACAAAAATGATGAAATTGAAAGTTCTGACAAAGATGAAAGACATGAAGTAATGTTTTAATGCTTTTTCCAAATTTTTTAAACATAAAATTAATAATATAAATATGAGTTACATTCAGATCCTAATTTTTTTCAAAAATGATTCCAAAATTGGAAGTCAACTTATATTTGAATACACTATTTGTTTGTAAATAAAGAACAGCATTGAAAGAACAAACGGTTTTGAAAAATATATTATTAATTGAGAAAGTATTCTTAAAAGATAAGTAGAGTTGTTTACCAGATTTAACTGAGAATTGTTAAAAAATTAAATTGAGTCATTAGCATTTTTTTGACTCCTTCCACCCTGTGAACACTAAGAGCTTTTTATCAAGCCCATTGTGGGTTTGACCAGGTTAACATGGTGGCCAGATGTGAGGAACAGGGCCTAATGTATCTGAAATAGGCCACCCCTGAAAAATTCCTGGAGTTTATCAAACTGTCCAGATTTCTTCCTGGATGCCTAGAGTAATTGGCTGACACCTTTAACCACTTGGATATCTGGCCATCATTAGCATGTTATACTACACAAGATAGAGATTTATTAATTTTTAATTAATAATGTAAGTTTGCCAACATTAAGGGGAGTACAGTTTACCTCACGTCAGAATGAGCCTAAGGGAAACCACGTATGCGGGCGGTGGCGAAGCAGGCAAATGAAGAACAAGTGTTTCACAAGAGAAAACCCGTTTATTTGTTCAAATTCATGCTTACATCAATATTGGACAATTCCAAAATCTCGGTGTTCCTATGAAATGGTGGGAGTTCAGGTGATCGGTCATAGCCCAGGCGGACGAGAAGGATTGCTGAACAATGCAGATGTTCAGTGTTAAGCTGCGGCGTCCTAGGTGATCGGCGGTGGCACAACACAATAGACAAAGCACTACTGTAGGCTTAGGGTGCGACTATGCAGACGCGAGTGAGCAAATTTTCCAAGCGAGCGAGAATATGTGGCGAGAAGAGGCAAGACGCGATAAATATCAAAACCTGTCAGATATGTGCGAGAACCAGAAATTCGCTCTCGCTAGCATTATTTCTCGCTTCTTGTTTGTGCATGGTTTTCCTTTGCGAAAACTAAATCGCTCGCAACCTCTCGCTCGCTCTAAATTTGCATCTGCATAGTCGCACCCTTAATCCAGAGGAGACTCCCCTTCAACCTTGAAGTTCCAATTTTTATAGTTTTTCCCCCTACTATTCGCATTGGTCCCTCGTCCCATTCCTCACTTTCCTATTGGTCTCTCCTTTGTCTCCAGGTGCAAGACGAAACCTTTTCAGGTCGCGGGAAAGGTCTGATATGAGGTGTCCATCTGATACCTCTTTGTCGACTCTGCTCGGTGACTGTTTATAAAACAATAACACCTGCACTCATAACTCAGGCTGTTGTTTACCGTTTTTTGACGTCTAAGAATTTAACAATCATTTTCATCTATCAAAAATTTTCCTTTTTTTTTCTGTTCGAAAAGGTTTATCTTGGCCAACATTTTACAGACTCGCGAGTCAATGATCTACCTATTTATGAGTGCCCATGTTAGAGTTTGTCTTCTGCTAAGACCTTAACAGATAATTTGACACATACTCAAACAGTTCCGAGTCTCATTGTTTACACCTTGTGTCGCACAAGAATGTCATGGTTTACTCGAGTACAAACCTCGTCTGGAAACCCACAATACATAAAACAGAAATGAAACAGTTCTTTATGAAAACAGAAGTCCCAAACAATTTTAAATGTGTAACTTTGAAAAAGAGAGTTTTTTATATTACTATAAGTCATAAAAATAGTCACAATTTAAACATGTATAAATTTTCTCAAATATTTTAAATTAAGAAAATTATCTAAACTTTAACAATTATAATTATTTTATTAATAAGATGTTCTTATTGGATTAGAATAACCCAACAATAATTTACAAATTCATATCAAAAATGTAAACAAGATAAAATTACCAAAATCTTATTCCAATTTACATTGACCACAATATATTGATTATGAAACAGAACAGTCAAATTTTTCATCTTATAAAATATTTCTAAAAAATCTAAGAAAACTTTTTTTAATAGCCACAATTTTGCCTTAATGTAATTAATCATTTTAATCCTATTTTAGTTTCTATCCTTAATTAGATTCTTGTTTTTATANAATAACCCAACAATAATTTACAAATTCATATCAAAAATGTAAACAAGATAAAATTACCAAAATCTTATTCCAATTTACATTGACCACAATATATTGATTATGAAACAGAACAGTCAAATTTTTCATCTTATAAAATATTTCTAAAAAATCTAAGAAAACTTTTTTTAATAGCCACAATTTTGCCTTAATGTAATTAATCATTTTAATCCTATTTTAGTTTCTATCCTTAATTAGATTCTTGTTTTTATAGATGCTAATTTTTCCTAAAAATGAAATAAGCATTTAACTGACTGACTGGCTTTCTTTTTGAAATATACAAAACAAAATAATATTACTGTAAATATTTTAATTTGTGATAACTTACTGTTTATGAAATAATGTATCTATTAAAAGATATAAATCCAATCATTAGCAATATATGGATTATTTATTTAACTTTTATTAGTATTGTGTTACTGTAATGTTATTGTTAATTTTTATGAAATTTTAAAGAAATTTAAAAACTATTTTTATTAATTTAAGCAGAGAAAAATGTAAAAATTTCTGTATGACAGAAACAGTTTGGACTGATAATAAATTTAAATTATGCATTTCAATTCAGTTAAGACAACATTGAAAATTTCAATTATAACTTTCATTTATATAAAATATTCATTTATGAAAAATAAAGTAAACAAAAATTTTTTCATATAACTTACCCATTCCTATTTGGACAAGATTCTGTTACATAAACATGAAATCGTTTTTTAGCTTCAAATGCTTCCACTAGAGTTTGATATACAACTCGAGAACAAGAATGGGTAAGAACAGTCTAAATGTAAAAAAAAAAAAAAAATAAGAATTCAAATGATAAAGCATTAACAAATGTTTATACAGAAACTTTACATATGTATGTATGTATGTATGTATGTATTTATTTATTTAGAATACAAAAGATTGATTGATTTATTTAATACAAGATTTTAAAAATTTGTTTAGATGGTAGCTATGGAATAAAACTACAGTAAGTATAACAACATGTATATTTTACTTCTTCACATTCTTTTACTCTGCTTATAAGCAATGTTTTGATCTTAAAAATAAGTTTTCTATAGAATTCACATCTAAATCATGAATTGATCTGTTCAAATCATATAGACCAAAATATGTTATCTATGTAAAGTTACATTGAAATTTTATTTTCATTTAGTTATATATATTAAAATTATGTGCAAAGCAACAAACTAGTGAAAGAGTGATGTAGCTGCTTTGCTAATAAACACATTTACATATTGACAATATACTGTATAAATGTACTGTATATATCCGAAGAAAATTCCTCCAATCTTTCCTTATAGGCTTCTAGCCTACGAAGAAATGTCAAAGGAGATTTTGCTTTGTTTATATGAAAGCAATTGTCAACTATGTAATGTTGTTCTGTCAGTTTCTTGCTTTACATAAAGTTTTAATCTTTCATTGTATAACTAGCATTTTTTTAAACAAATGTTTACAAATTGTAATTTTCAAAAATCTAAATATTAATTTTATATCAATTGAATATATGTATTATAACCAAAAATATTCTCTGGAAAATCAAACTACTCTCACAAAAATAATAAAATAAAAAAAATCAATCTCAGCAACATAATTCAGTAATTTAATACAATTTATTTAGAATTTCTTGTACTAATACTTATAAAACATCAAACATTTTAAATGAAATTTCACTTATTTTTCACATTGAACATTTACATTTCAATATTATTTTTCATAAACATTAAAACATTTTAAATGAGAAAATTTTAGAAAATTATACATTGTTTTTCTATTATACATTGTGAAAATTAAAATTTTCACAATGTATAATAGAAAAACTTTCATTGGCATTTTATAGTTAAAAATACCTGAATTTTACTAATAAATGTTTCAAAAACATTTATTAATAAAATTTATATATTTAGAAAGTAATATATTTCAATTTTATATAATTAATTTTAATAGGTCATTACAAATTAATTAAGAATTATTGTTGAAATTATTAATTTTTATAACTGATGCATCTACTAATAATTAATCTCAAAGATCATTCTTTTATTGCTGCATAGAACATATGTCCCCAGTCAAAAATTATCTTTATCTTGATTTTACAAAGTATAAATGCATTTGTCATTGTTTATTATATAACTAGCAGATGAGCCCAGCATTGCTCAGGGAAAAAGTAACGACAGCAAAGATTAAGATTATTAGATTATAGCCAGTCTTACCCATTTTCACCTGATGCAAGAATTAGGTCTCCCTATTCCGAGGCTAATTAGAGAATTTTTAGATGAGTCTAAAAAATGTTCAATTTCCTGCAAAAAACCACATCTAAAATAGCACAATAAAAGTCAAGTTCTTCTAGGTAATTTCAAAAAATCCCTTCTTAGTGTGCATTTGCATGGTGTACACTAACTGTGTACCAAATTTCAACTTTCAACTCCTAATCATCTGGGCTTTGTGCTTATTATTATTATTATTGTTATTGTTATCAACCCATTATATATATTGACTATATTATAAGGTGTATAATTAATCCTTTTCATGTAATATCATCAATTAAATAAATTTTATATAAATAATTATATTACTTTAATTTCTTAGAAAAATTTAGATTATGTTTTATTTAATGATAATCAATATAAATGGTGTCATAGAAAGTTTTACATTAATAATAATGTCAGATTTTATTGTTTACTTCTTTATATTTACTTTTATTTCAATTGTTATATGTTTTTAATTATTTAAGTGCATGTGCATATCTGTTATATATATATATAGTTGCCTTTTTATTTTGTCATTGTTATTTTTTTATTTATTTCTTAATTTTTAAATTATTGTTCGTTTTGGGTAAATTGTAACAGAGGGTGGATATCAGCTGTCTTTCAACATTTCCTAATGTGTGTAAAATAAAAATAAAATAAAAAATTGAATACATTTGGCTTCATAAATAAGATTACCACCATTTAACCCTTGATGAGTGGGTTTACCAGTTGCTCCCTCTCCTCCCAGAGTTAGTTTTTAAAAAATAAATCTAACATTCACAAAAAGATTGATATCTCATCTTCTAATTCTTTGTTTTTTAAATTATCTGGGCAATATTTTCTTCTGCTTCAACTGTGTTAAATAACTTCAACAATTCAGAAGAAGATAGTGTGTGTGACTACAAGACTACTAGATGCCATGTTTGTTTTTATGCTAGAAAATTCTGTGCTAAATCTCTTGAAAGTCACAAAAAACCACATGAAAAAAATGTCTACACTTCAATAGATATCACTAGCTGTCTGTGAAGTTTCATGTTTGCCTGTAAATATAAAAGTTTACTACAGCGAGAAAAACTGAAGATCATACAAATTTATGGGAGTATTCATCAAATGGTTAATGGTTAAATAATTTGAAATAAATAAATAGTTTTACAAACAAAAAAGTAACAACAATTTGAAACAGAATTTAAGTTTACAATTTTCATATAACAAATGAATTATGTTATTTAAAATTGCTATTAATGTATATTAATAATACCATTAAACATGTATTAATGATAAAACTAAGTGCTGTACATTATTATGAATATTCAAACTGTATATCTGAATTATCATCCCAATAATTTGATATCTGCATTGCTACATTACAGTTATTTACAATAACTTCAATGTTTGTTACTCTTTTAAAATTTAATTATTTCTATTTTATTTGCTTATATCTCAAATTTAACCATTTTAACGTGAATTAAAATAGGGGTAAAAATAAAATTTTGAATACATTATCAAAAAATCATGCCAGTTACAGTACTTTAAACACATATTTGCAAGAATTTGTTTGAAAAAAACCTCATGATAAGAACAATCAGGAGTGCAAGGAGACTAAACCAGCTAAAGATTCATTGGCTTGAGCCATCATAGCTGGCTGACTGGATGGCCAAGAAAAGTTAACGCATCAGCCAACCACTTAGACACAGGACTCAGGATCAAATCTGTGCAGATTTAAAAAACCCTAGAAATTTTTTGGAAGTCCTTGATATGTTGGGCTAAATCTCTCATACCTAGTTGTCCCCTTGTGGGCCTAGCCGAACTCATAATGGGCTTGAAAAAGACCATCTTAGTGCCCACAGGATGGGAATAAAAAAATGGGGAAATGCTGGCAAGAATATGAGAGAATTGACAGAGTTAGTACAAGATTACATATGATATATTAACCTTTGTAATTTCTAAGGGTTGGACACACAATGACTAACACATACACCATTACTTACTTTCCATCTTCAATTAATTCATCTATAAAATTTCAATTTTCTTAAAAAATATTCAAAATCAAAAAATTTTACCAGTTGATAATTATCCACTAAAAAATAATGTGATTCTGTTATACTTTGTATAAATCATTGCAAATCATAATTTTTAATTGTGTTGAAAGTAGAAAATTTTCATATTTGACTGGCCTAATTTTATATTTTTCATATTATTTTAATCAAAAATCTAAACTAAAATAAAGATTTAAACATTAAAAAGATCTTAAAATACTTACACAATTATCAAGAATAAACGGATTTCCTAATTTTGCTATTTTATCTCTAGATGTAGTAACCTTTTTTAAAAATAATCTTCCACGTTCAGAGAGAACTTTTTTGCACTCACTAAAATCCTGAAAGTTATAAAAATATTACAAAAAATAAATAATATAGTTATAAAATAATTTTTTAATTAAGAAATTAACTTTTAATCAAAAACATAAAGTACACTATAAAAAAATTGTGTTTAAAAAAACAAATAATGTAGAAATATCATCATTCAAGCTTTAAAAATAAAAATTTATTATATATTGCAATATTTTTTTTCATTTTAAAACTTGTAAAGTATTAAATGAGTTAAACATGAATTTAGTATTATTTCAAATGAAATCATTCATTCCATTTATAATGAAACAAAATGACATTTCACTAAAGTACTTCCTCTGTATTAAAAAATCAATTATTTGCTTTTAAAATAAATTTTACACATACTTCAGAAATATCTACACAGATAATGTTTCAGAAATGTTTGACAATTATAAATATCTACATAGACATTTATAATTGTCAAACATTTCTGAAATATCCATACATAAACAAAGACTAAATAACAAATTTTAAATATCAACTACTTGAATTAATAAATATAATGACCAGGACAATAAAAATATTCCCAAATTAGAAGAATCTATAAAAGTCTCTATATTCTCTTCTTTTTCAAAACCTAAAGAATACAACAGTCTTTACAGGTGGAGCCAACCTTTTATCTGAGGCTACTCATTTGTCTTGATATGTAAATATATTTTAAAAAATTCCAGGGGTGATGGCACAAACAACTATACAATAATGGAAAAAATTGGCAATAAACTATAAATAGTTTAGGCACATGTCTCTGTCTCCACACTCTTTGTAGATATCACTGTGGAATATCTAAGAGTGCAGAGACATACACTCTTTCCATCCTACAGGATAAACTTTCCATCTTACAGGAATCAAAACAAACTGCTATCAATATAAGACCCTAATTATATGTTGTGAATCCACCCTTCCCTATTTTTCAAAGGTTTGCACTGTATCAACTCATTAATGGCAAAACAGTCCCCTTAAAGACAGGTCACAATATATGGTATCAGAGACAGCCATCCAGTTAAAAGACTGCTTGACCTTTTCATGTTCAAAAGATCCGTAACAATGCTTCACATTCCAAGATTTGAATAACATTTTTATTTCTTTTCTTGTAATTTATTAATTAATACAATAAACCCACTACTAATTCAGACTAAAAAAGAGTATAGGTTGTCTGAGTTTATAAAAGTCAGAGTTAGCAGGGTATTTTTTTCTGATGACATTGAAAATGAGATGGATATACAATATAGTAATGAGCTCAAAAAATTTCATGATAGTACAGTATACAGCAATGTATGGTCTTTAGTAACTTACACTATAGTATGAAATACACAGCATCACAAAGACTTTCAGATGTTAATAATTAATAAGTGTTTTCAATATTAAAATGTCAATTATACTTAAGTTAATTTATTAAAAATTTTTCAACAAAGTGGGAATCTCCTGTTTAAGAAACAAATATTAACGTAATCTGTATTCCAGCCATCTGGTTATAGAAATCCAGTTTCCATACTTGTTTGTTTTTTAAATAGGAGATCCTGGCTTTGTTTAAAGATTTTAAATCATTTAAAAAATTGCTGCAACAAAGATTAGACTCATTAATTATAATTTTTTCCATTGTCAAGAAATTTTAAAGAACTGGATAAATTTTTTTGAAATATTATACAAGTTATATGAAATCTGATTTAGTGGGTTCCAAGTTAGCAAGGAGTTCACTGTAAGTTCATTTTGTGATCAAGCAAATAAACAATGATGATATAATACATTAGAGAGGTTGAGGCGCACGTTTTAAACGTGTAAACATGTACGTGTGACGTTCGGCGCCGCTTTCCCGTAAGCCTAAAAGTGTGACGATGGTGTTTGGAATGTCGAGCGTGATTCCACCGACTATCCAAACACCATTGTCAAACTTTTAGGCTTACGGGAAAGCGGCGCCGAACGTCACACGTACACGTTTACACGTTTAAAACGTGCGCCTCAACCTCTCTATTAACATATATAGTCCTAATATACATCAGTTCTCATCAGATCAACAAACTTAAGCAGCATGGAGTCCAACTAACATTTCAGCTGGAGACAATAGGAAAGACAGAGTGCATTGTGAATTCCATCCATAGTACAATAGTTCTGATCAAACTCAGGATGGATAAAAGAGGAAAAGTTGATATCCATCAGGAAGGACATCAAGTTAAAAAATGACTAATTTGATTTTTTTTAAGCAGGGAGCATAAATGCCAATCCCAAATTGATGGCATTTATACTCCCTGAAATAAGAAAATTACAATGATTATACAATTCTATAAATTGATACTATTTTTTAAAAATTTTATTATTATGTTGGGTTTTGTGAGTTATACTTGGTTCACACCGGTGGCTGTGTACTATACCAAACCAAAGTCAAGGCATAAACAACCAAAACAAAACTAAAATTAAGTAAGTGTGTCAGTGTGTGTGTCTGTATTCAGGAATTTCCTAACAATGTGGCATGTATTCAATATAGTGGCCTTCTGTAGTGTGGTGTATGTATTTCTACTCAATTGTAATGTTCCCAGGCTTTTGTGTAGTGTGTGTGGTATCACACCTGTACAGGAGAGAACGACAGGTACAATAAGCACCCTATCCATCCTCCACAGATGCCTTATTTCCTGGGCG